GCTATAAAATAAAGCCTATATAACTACTACTATGTGTCAGACCTACACAAGTATGAAATGCTGTTTGTCCTGATACAGAAAATAGTCCCTCCCTGCTACGTTGATACAGCAATGTCATATGTGGATAACCTTTGATACATTAGTGTATGGCATAGCCATGAAAGCCTGACATTCTTCTGTACATTCTGTACATTCTTCTGCACAGAGTTATTCTGAAGAGATCTGAAGTGCAACACCATGGAAAGCTGAGCTAGATCTGGAAGTTGCTAATAAGCTGGCTCCTGGCCCTGCAGTGCTGGAGATAAAGACACTTAGGCATAATTTAGTAAAAGTTCCATCTTTATCACTCATTCCATTAGTCACAAGATAATTCATAAATATATTAATTACTTAACACTGTGGTTTGTTAAGTTTCCAGTCTACAAATAGGAATATTTCAGGATATGCATCACTGGTGAGAGCTCTCTGATAATTTGCAGACCCTGTGACAAGATTGTTTCTTACGTTTACACTAGACAATTCAGTAAAAAAAATTGCTTACCAGAACTGTATTCATAATTAACTACCTGTCCATCATGTTCTCTTTCCTTTCTTAGCTCTAAATATGTAGGTGGGGGGGTTTGGGCAACTCTCGTCGTTTGAATCTTCGTGCTAATGACCCAATCCACTCCCATTTAATGTCAGTGGAAATATTCCCACTGAATGAGAGTTGGATTACCCAAAAGTTCACTGAGAAACTGGGTTTGCAAAACTATTTTTGAGGTTGGATTTTCCTATATAAAGAAGACTCAGATGATCATATCACCTGCTGCAGGGGTCTGACCTGGTGGCTGAGGATGCCAAAATAAGTGGTGGGCCTACAACTTTTATATAGATGCCAGATGGCTTCAGAAAAAATACTGAACCAAAAAAAGACCCTGAGAGTTAGAGAGTTGATAAAGAAAACAAAGGACCCCGAGAGTTGTTAAGCAAAACAAAAACAGTGTGGCCCCTTTAAGAAATGTGTGCTGAGGCTTTTTGGCCCTAACAGGCTGCCGGTGGCCGCCTGCCATCTTGCCTCCCTGACCAGGCTGGACAGCTCCCTGGTAAGCACTGTGGTTGCCAGGCTGCCTTCGTATTTAGCTGGACAGCCCAGGATTTTTGCCTCCTGGCCAGGAAAAAATCAGGAAGTACTGGAAATTTTAGGTGAAATTTTAATTTTTTTTAACATTTGGCCCAGTGTAGATGGGCCAATTGTCGGAAAAGCCTCTTTTGGAAGAAAAGCAGAAAAAGAGATGCAATTAGCGTATCTTTTTCTGATAGAACTTTGTAGTCTAGGCACCGCCTGAGGTTCTACTATATTTTAATATCCTCCCTCCTGTCTACACATACCCCTGTAATAGTTAGGAGCGGTACTGACCCACACCCAGTGACTAAGGAGTTAACTCAGGTAGCTAGCAAAGGTGTTGGCCAGGGATCAGGAGAACCAATCGAGCTAAAGTGTTGAAATTGGAATTGGATGAAGGTTCCTTGCCTGCTTTCTTTTTGTGGGAGAGAGAAACCAGGAGGTGAGAGAGAATTATTTAAACCCAAGCAGGATTACCATGTCTCCAAGAAATTTGAGACATGGGAGTGAACCGAACAAAGAGAAAATTAGAAGTAATTAAAAAGGGAAAACTGAATGCGACTGGATTCATGGTAATTTATCTTTATTTTGTGGTTTGGTTTGAACTGCTATGTGTGATTCTATGCCTCTGCTCCCCAATTACCATTTAAACTTTGTTCCTGAAAATGTTCTGGGTTTTTTTTAATTGTTTTCCTTAGTTGCTCTGTAACATCTAGCATCAAGTATGCTTCAAGATGATTATATGATTCTTGTGTCCTGGAAGGTCTGTCTGTTTGTATCTGCATGCCTCCGGCTGAAGGGTCAGCTACTAGAGTCTGCAGTTTGTTTTTCTCTTTTCAAGCTCTTTTGGGGCAGAAGAGCTTTGGGTACCCCTAGTTTTTAAGGGAAAAGTACTTGATGGTGGCAGCAATTCCCCAAAATCTGAATATTATGATGGAGTGTGGGGGGAGAAGGAGTTTTTTTGTAACCAGTGGCTGTAGAGGCAAGGTTTTGAAGCTCTCTTGAGGGCTCTCAACTTCTGCACTCGGAGTCCCAGAGTGGGGAACAGCCCTGACAACCCCCAAATACACCTGTTGATACCATTCCCTTCTGCACACAATCCTACCAGGCTAATCCATCTCCTTGACAGCTCAAAACATCCCTAACCATCAGCTTGACCCTCTCACCCTAGCTCCTCACCCACACGTAAGCTGAGATTCCTTCTTCTGCCAACTTTCAACCACTTAACATGTCAAAACCAGGTGAGTGTACTCATAGGTGTTGACTTCCCCTCTAGCTGGGGAGGGTGTATTCAACCCTATCTTCTGCCCCTAGCTCCCTGACCCACTCCACCTCTTCCCTCAAGGTTCTGCCCCGCCTCTTTCTGCCCCTGCTCTGCCCCTTCCCTCAGGCCCCTACCACTTCCAGTCTCTTCCTCCTCCACCTCCTCCCTCCTAGAGCATCCCAAACGCTGCAAACAGCAGTTTGTGGCAGGTGCTGAGAGGGAGGGGAAGGAGCTGGTCAATGGGTCTGTCAGCAAGTGAGAGGGGTGACGCCAGACAGGGGAGCTTGGCTGCTGATGAGTGCTACGCACCTACTAACTTTTCTCTTAGATGCCTTGGGGGAAAGGCCAATTCTTGCTTACAGACAACCCCCTAATCTCAAACAAATTTTTTCCAGTAACCACGCAGCACACCTCCGTCATAATTATCCAGGAATTCCCCCCCTGCAATCAGCCCCGGTACCAACTTTTCCCACACATCTACACAAGTGATTTAATCACTGGACCCAACCACATCAGCCCCCAAATCAGAAGCTCATTTAACTGCACATCCACTAATGTGATCTATGACATCAAATGCCAGCAATGCCCCACTGCAATGTATATTGGCCACACTGGACAGTCTCTACGGGAAAGAATTAATGGACACAAATCAGATATCCGAAAAGGCAACACACAAAAACCTGTTGGAGAACACTTTAATCTTCCTGGACACTCATTAATGGATCTCCAAGTCACCATTTTGTTTCAGACCAATTCCACAAACCAAATACACAGAGAAGGGTTGGAACTTAATTTCATTCACAAGTTTAATTCTTACGTAAATGATATGAACGGGAATATCGGATGGCTTGCACATTATTTTCCACATCTTAATAACTTAACCAACCAAACAATGAAGATGCTAATGGTTCTTGATGTTTGTGTAGAATCTGGTGTTGGTCATCTTCCTTTCCAAGTACAAACTAATGGTTCTTATCAGCCTCTTGTAACTAGTTAGTCTGTAACAAGAAAAACTTAACAGACAACAAATAGTCTAGTAGCTCCTTAAAGACTAACAGCTACCCCTCTGTAACTTTTTCCTGTAAGTGCCCCAGCTCTGGAACACCCCTGGAGTCGGTGCCTATGAATATAAAGGTCCCTTACATTTAGGGATGTTATCTATTCAATTACATGATATCTAATATGTAATTGAAAATATGATCAGTTACATGACTATTTGATAGTCCCCAGGGCGAGGCTGGCAGCCAGTGCACTCTGGCCCCACTCCTGGGGAGCCCCCTGCCACCCCACACTGCTGCCTCTCTATCAGAAGCAGCAGTGCGAGGTGGCAGGCGAGAGCTGGTATGTGAGGGGAGCCAGTTTAAAAACCAGCTCCCCAGAGACCAGCTGCCTATTAGAGGCAGCAGCACGGGGAGGGACAAGCAGCACTGCAGATCTGGTGGTGGGGAACTGGCTTTTAAACTGACTCCCCACAGCACTGGCTCCTCCCTGTCCCCACTCACTGCCTCTATAGGAGTCAGCAAGGGGGAGGAAGGTGGGTCCACGGGAGCAGATATGCACAGGGAGCTGGCTTGACAGCAAGCTCCCCTCATGTATTGGCTCTTGCCTTGCCCCCCTTCTGCGCTGCTGCCTCTTTATCAGAGGTAGCAGCACAGGGGTGAGGGAGCAGATGGATTGGGTGCTCATGGGGACCCTGTTTAAAGCCAGCTCTTCACGGGCACCACTCCTGTTGCCCTTGATACAGAGACAGCAAAGGGGGCCAGTGCATGTAGTCGATAGGATTAACCAATAAGCCCAGTCTTATCAGTTAATTGTTTACTTAACTGTATGCAAGCATCCTTACTTACATTCCTAGATTTCTATAATTCTCAGCATTGAAATCTCTCTTCCCCTGATTCTCCCATACAAACACATCTCTCTCAGCTCAAAATATCCATCCCAAGTTCAGAACACTTCCCCATCTCATTTCACACACACCATCACCTCGGCACGCCTCCCAAATGGCATGCAGCTGTGTGACATTCATAAATGCTATCTGCCTTTCAGCATCTCTGCACCTCCGACAGCATCACATATTCAGCTGGGATTTGGACAAATAGGAGGGATTGAGCTACACACTTCTGACTAGCTGTCACCAGGGGCAACTGACACATGTTAAACTTCTAGCTCTTCTCTACTCCCTGTCATCTCTCAACTATGTGGAGAAGCAGAAAGGCAAGGAAGCAGCCTCATTACCCACATAGGCAGGGGCATTTATACCTCACTGGAATAAAGAGTGAATGTATACTATATACTAGCAGAATGAAATTTATATGACCACATAAACAGCCTGCAGTAATCAGACTGGAATCTGCATGAGCAGAAAATGCAACAGCCCCCCGCCCCCTGCAAAGTCTGTAAAATCAAAGACAGAAAATTAGGAAATCCCCAAAATTGGGATTTCTCCTACAATGCTAAATTGACTATATTGCATATCCTGTTTATCTGACAGTAAAACAATTACATTTACAAAAAAGCCAAGTTAACATTTTAGAAAAAAACATTAACTTTTAGAATTCTTGAATCATTGAGGACTTGATATTAAACCACTTATCTGAAGGTTTAATATTACAGATAATATTAGTTCTTTGCATTACCTTTTTCCCCAGCTTATTTCCTTAGGTTTGTGCAGATTAAAAGCTCCACCAATTTTTAGAAACAAGCTTGTAAATTCTTTGCTATAGAACTAGATGAAAGTGGTATACATCCTTTAGCACTAAGTGGTTTCTTGCATATTTAAGCTTAACCATTATTTGATCAAAGCTACAAAGCCTCTCAAACTTATTTTCTTCTGTTTCAGAAGCTGAAGTTGTTCATGTTAGAATTTACAAAAAAAAACTGGGACATTTGTTGTGTAAACTTGGACACTCAACCTCTCCAGACCGCCAATATCCCATGTGTAAAATGAGGGGCAATGATTAATCTTCAGATCTACAGAAGCAAAGGTGATGTAAAATACTTATTTATATTATCTAGCATCCTGGAGCCCATGACCCAGGATCCTATTGTGCAGTACTAGGCACTATTCAAGCAGAGCCCAAGTTTATAATCTACATAACGGTTTACAAGATGATTATTATATACTGGCTGTAGTTTCTGCTTGCTTAAGGTTACAATCAAGTTATATTATAAATCCTGGCCAACATTTTCTAATCTATGTCTCTAACACTAGAATTCTCAACCTAAATATAGATGTATGAGTGGTCAGGTTTCTGAAGTGCTGAACATTCCTAGAATCTTTCCTTCCAAATTTAACAAAGTGCATATATTTCTGTAAAGGTCTATTTACATGACAAGTTCAATGTATAAAAAATTCAACGGTTACATTCAAACATCTGAGAAGAGAGAATGTTTGTGATGGTGGTGATGATGATGGTGGGCAGTTCACCTTCTTTTGACCATCTCATAACTTCCCTTTGGATGTTTCTGAGTTTAAATCTTTCATATTGTCTCTACTCAAAGACAGGATTTTTTGGAGAGTACAAGTTGATTACATAAAATGAAAGTCAAAGTTCTAAGCGTACATACAAATGGGTTAAAATAGGAACTGTTTTGCACTGTTGACTATAGTAAGCACAACAGCTATAATATGATAGCATGGTATAATGGTCTATCTGTGTAGGTATTTAATACCAAAATGATGAACATGGTATAGAGCCTAGTTCTAACTGGTACTGCATATAAGTATAAAATTTTCATGTTATATCATAAGGTACCCTTAAAATGTTACATAGATAAAATAATCTTTGAAAATGCTTAGAATTTTTAAAATGTTTCGTGCTAAATTTTCAGCCTTACACCCCAAAAAGTCAGGATACCTCAGTAATCATGGGATCAAATTCCCAGCTGGTGTAAACAGACATAGATCCCTTGATTTCAATGGAGCATTACCAGTTGAAGATCTGACCCCATGAATGTACATGCATCTGAATTATGGAAATTAGTACCACAAATCTTTTTAAATCTCTACAGATAATAGCAACTCTTATTTATAAAATTTTTGTAATATCATGATCTGGGCTAGAAATTAAAGATATCTGTATGTGTGTATATCAGTGGAAAAGCTGGAATCTTAATTTTGTAGTGGGTTCCAAGTAGGCTTCTAGCCATGACAAGTCATGAAATGATAATATTGTCTCTGACTATGAATGGCAGTGTAAAATCCGTCTACTTTAAACCCCACCCTCTGATTTCTATTTTTCCCTTATATGGGAGAAAAGGAGAAAATATTTTTAATATCAATTTGCTTTTATAAAAATTATTGGCAACTGTTTCAAACAGTCATAGCTATCAAAGGCTTGTTGCATCTGTACATATGCATTATCACAGGGAGATTATAAATGATTTATTACTATGATTCAGCAGTAATATTTCAGATAAGTATTAAATAACTAGCCTTGAAAGGGCAGTTTGACAGTTTATTGAACTTAGGAGAAAAAAGATGGATCTTAGAATAAATTTTCATTTCTAATGAAATAAAGTGTCTTGCTCAGTTTCAAAAAGTCAGTTCTTGAATTCTATAGACTTAGGGCTGAATTATATAGATCCTGACAATCGGTGTTTCAGAGGTTGCTCAAACTGGAAATCATCACAGAAGTCATAACTGTTTTTAGAGAGAATAACCTCTCCAATACTTTGTTTTGTGAAAAAATGGAATGATGCCTCATAGAAGTACTGGCGATAACATATTTTATTGAATAATTAGAAATAAAGAAGAAATACCAGAAAGCCTACAGGAACATTGTAGTTTTAAGTGTTTAAGAATGTTTTTGTTCAGGATGAAGAGGCTCTTAAAGGGATGCTTTGAGCATAACTCCCTTGAATATATTGTCTACCAAGGCACTTCTCGTGGTCTGGACACATGCCCTTATTTATGAAGCCTGGGTCTCTGGAATTCTTTAGTATAATAAGTGCCAAAGGCAGCAAACACGGCTTGCTTAGATGACAAAAAATACCAAATGCTGCACACAGATGTGCTTCTTAATATATCTAGGTTTGAACAAGATGGGAAGATTTTCCTCCCTGTCTACCTTCACAGGAGATTGCTAAAGAACTAGACAGACAGCCAGTTGCACACAAGCCTCCAATAACTTAACATGAATACCAAGAGGTTCCTATTGATAAACCCTGAAAAATGTGTCCTTTTAAAAATTCACAAGTGCACCTGTACAGCGTATTTAAGGTTAAGATCTGAATCACTCCAGATTTACACTTGTTGCACTGAGAGCTGATTCTGGCCTTAAATGCATATGCTCAGATTTAGTACAATTTTTTTACTATTGCATGTTCCTATACACAATTTTCAAATAGCCATAATTTAACTTTCAGTCCCTTCTTTGAAGTTAATTATGGATATACAGTACTCTAATAGCCCTCTTTATCCTTATATGGACAGATGCCTTCTAAATGCTTCCCACTCATCTCTGCCTTTATGGGTGAGAGCAGTGATGTGTCCTTACACAAGTTCCCTATAACTTGCCCCCTCTCCCCGCATTTCTCATAGCTTCCCTCTTTCAATATAGGCAGGTGGCCTGTGACTAGCTTCTTGGTTCTAAATGTTAAATTCAGTAATCAAGGGAATATCTAGGAATGTTCTAAATGTGTTTCCTATTGCATGCTTTCTTTCTGTGGGTGTGGGGGCATTAAGCCATGATGATGGTCGACTGCTCTAACTGCCTAGGGAGGTTGCAGATGCTCCTACACTTGAGATTTTCAAAAGAAGGCTGGATAGCCATCTGTCATGGATGATTTAAATACCTCAAATCCTGCATCTTGGCAGAGGGTTAAATTAGATGATCCTTGTGGTCACTTCTAACCCAATGATTCTATGTATAAACAACTGTTTCCTTAGACAGGTAGGCAGACTATAGTTCTATCTCGGGGGGCTAGAGAGAGAAAGGGAGGGAGAGACTCCAAAATCTGAACCAGCTGAGATGAGCTTTCTCTTTACACTGGAGATTTTTATGCCCACAAATTCTACAGAAGAGTGCTGCTTATTGCCTGGAAAATTCCCAGGAAGACTGTGAGCTGCTTTCACTGCCCTGCTGGTACCTGGGAGAGAAAGTAAGAGGTGAAAGGAGTTTGAATGAACCAGTTTAACGTCTGTCCTTTCCCCTCACCCAAAGCTTCTGAAAATAATTACATGGGAGGGGGTTTCCTGAGTCAACTAATCCCTCATCTCCCTGTGAGCTGTCTGAATCCATCCATCTCTCTTTTTAATTAACTTTTTTAAAATATATATTTTTATTTTTTTCCCTCTGCTTTGTTTCTAAGATCTCATTTCTCTGGTACAAGGAGAGCTGTTGTGCTGGACAGTCACTCTCTCAACCAGGCTATATTCAGTTTCTCTCTTAGTTGTAGTTCTTACCTGTTTTCTTTGCAGGCTCTGGCATCTTGTTTTTTGTCTCTCTCAAAGTTCCCAATGGTGCCTTGAAGCCTGGGTCTGAGCTGAACTAGAATGAAGCTGTGGGACTTTTGACACTCCTTAAACACTAACTGGAAGCCCCCCCTTCCTGTGCCTCCTCTTTGATTTCCCCCACTCTTATCACCAGTGATACCTTATCAGCAGCAGGGCAATTCACAGAATATATCAGCAAGGATATATATATAGCCAAGTTCCTGGAGCCAGAGAGTGCAAACTATCCAAGACTGGACCATGCAGTTTTGTTGAGAAGCTGGTCCAAATTAGAGATTTAAAAGTCATTTAAAACTGTAACTGTGTAACCACTAAAAATCCTACACACACTGGGTTCTACAGTATGAAGCTTATATATAAGCTTCATACTGTAGAGCCTACAGCAAAGCCTTCCTGGGAGTAGAGCTGGCAGCCTCTGCTAGCAAGCTCCTGAGCTAAAGTTATACTGAAGAGTCCACAGTGAAATTGGCTCCCAAGGATACTTCGCTTCAGGCTCTGCAGCCTGCTCCCCACAAGCCCTGCCTCCCTGGGGCAGCCCTCTGCTTGGCGTGAGCGATGAGCTGCTCCAACCCCTACCGGTTAACCAGAAACGGTAAGCCTCACCCATTAAGGTTAACCAGTTTTACATACCTAATACAAACCCGGTGCACAGAATTAAGCTTTGTCTGCTTCTTCACATCACGTAAATACATCTTCCTCTTTCCACATTTTCTTTCCTCTTTCCACAGTTAGATATAAGCTATGTCAAGAAATCTGACATTGTCCATGTTTCTAGCAGTTATTTAAACTAGATACAACAATGAATTGTTCTGTACTTATGTGTGCATTTGTGTATATTATCTGGCCTCTTTCAGTCCTTGTCAATTTTATAATTGTGTTAGTCTTGAACAGCTCCTCAGACAAGAACTTCATTCTTTTTTCTTCTTTACTATTAATTGTAATGTCATTAGACTTGAGAATGGCTCTCCAGGGAGAAACAAATTTCTACAGAGGCGTACAAAATTCTGACATTTACAGCACTACACTAGCTTCACCTTTCCCTCAGGCTATGTCTAGACTGCAGGCTTCTTTCGAAAGAGAAATCCGCTTTTTCGAAAGAGAGCACCCAGCGAGTCTGGATGCTCTCTTTCGAAGACGGCCTCTTTACATTGAAGAACGCCTTCCTTCGAAAGAGGAACTTTCGAAGGAAGGCGTTCTTCCTCGTGAAACGAGGTTTACCGCCATCGAAAGAAAAGCCGCGTTCTTTCGAAATAATTTTGAAAGAACGCGGCTTGAGTCTGGACGCAGGGGAAGTTTTTTCGGGAAAAGGCTACTTTTCCCGAAAAAAACCCTGAGTCTGGACACGGCCTCACTCTTGTAACTCTGTTGGAAAATCCCCTTTTTTTTAAATAAAATTTGAGCACTATTTCAATAAGTTACAGTTGTGGGCAAGTTGCATCCTAACATTCAAATTCAGCTTAACCCTATCGAGATGTTCATACAGATCCTCCCCAGAAAACTTCTCTGGCACTGTCCATTAGTGCATCAACCATTATTTATTTATTTGTATTTTTAGTCAAATAAAACTAATTGTGGCCAATTGCATGCCTGATCACTTCCTTTTTTTAATTGATTAAGCATTCACCTCTGTCATAGGGAGAAAATGTTTTCCCTCTTGTCCTGAGCTGTTTTTGGACTACGAAATCAATGTGAGACCAGATCTAATGCCAGAAATTGCTTTTATTCCCACCTGAGCATTCTGTCAGTGTTTTTACCTCACCCGAGACTCCAGTAGAATAAAATCCCCATGTGATAGCAAGAGGCATTAACTTAAGTCATCAGAGTACTTGCTGAAAAAAAGTGCGGAAATGAACCAGGGACCTATTAGGTTGTAGCTCCCTGTTTTGCTGGTGTCACCACCACACCAATCCAGGTATCGCCTGAATCAGTTTTTTGCAAGAAAATTAGACAACTAAAAGTCACATTGGCTGGATGTAATTTCCACATGGTTCCCAAAAGCCAATGATGAATATAAGCAAACAATGCAGGAGCAAGAGTAGAAAGGCAAAGGCATAAAATGAGCTCAAACTAGCTACAGACATAAAGGGTAATAAGAAGGCTTTCTGTAAATATAGTAGAAGCAAGAGGAAGACCAAGGACAGAGTAGGCCCATCGCTCAGTGAGGAGGGAGAAAAAATAACACTTGGAAATGGCAGAGGTGCTTAAATAACTTCTTTGTTTTGGTCTTCACCAAGAAGTCCCAACCATGATTGTGGGATGCATTCACAGGAATGTTGTGAGCAAGACACAAGAAGTCATTCTTCCACTCTACTCTGCCTTGATTAGGCCTCAATTGGAGCATTGTGTCTAGTTCTGGGCACCACATTTCAAGAAAGATGTGGAGAAATTGGAGAAGGTTCAGAGAAGAGCAACAACAGTGATTAAAAGTCTAGAGAACATGAGGTTAGACCTCTATCAGGGATGGCCTAGATAGTGCTTGGTCCTGCTGTGAGGGTAGGGGACAGAACTTGATGACCTCTTGAGGTCCCTTCCAGTTCTAGTGTTCTTTGATTCTTTGAAATATTCTGTACCATGTAGGTCAGTTACTCTAAGGAGTAGCCTTCTTCCAGAAAAGCTTATGCAAATGAAGCATGGAGTGGACTATTGCTGTGCTTAATTTGCATAATTAATTAGCAGCCATTTTTGCACAAGAGGCTTTTGCACAAAAAGGAGCTGTGTAGATGGTTCCTTTTTGCGGAAAAACTCAGTCATCTACACACAGCTCCTTTTTGCACAAAAGCCTCTTGTGCAATATTGGCTGCTAATTAATTATGCAAATGAAGTGTGGCGATATTCCACTCCGTGCCTCATTTGCATAAGCTTTTCCGGAAGAAGGCTACAGTGTAGCTGTAGCCTGAGTTTTATTGAAAGAGTATTTGCTGTTGCACATAGTACTTTGATCTAGTAAAGCATTTAAGTGTTGAATTGCTTTGCTAGATCTTAACCTTACAGCCTGTTCTGCCACACAGATTGTTTAGCACCAACAAAACCTCACACTTGTATTAACATTGTCTAAAAATAAATAAATGAAAATACCTCTGTTAATATAGATTGAGGTGTAATGTATTTATATATAAATTTAGGAACTGCCATATTGGATAAGACCCAATGTCCCTCTATTTCAGAATCTTCTCTCTGACAGTTACCAGTATCTGATGGGTAAGAGCAAAGTTTAAAAACCCTGTAATAGCTACCATAAGGATAATCTTCCCCTTATATTGGATCTCTTCCTAGTTTCTAAAAAATATTAGAGAATGGCTTAAACCTTGAATACAAGGTTTAATATTCTTTCCAAAATGTATGTTAATTACATCCACTCTGGATATTCTTGCCATCCATGTAAATGTCCATTCCCTTTTGGAATCTTTTAAAGTTCTTGAACTCAATGACTTCTTCTGGCAATACCACATTGTAGGAAAATGTTTCCTTTTTCACTGGTTTTTCATGTTCCGTATTTTAATTTCATAGCTTGTCCCTTCTCCCTTGTGATAAGAGACAGAGAGAACAGAAAGTTCCAATTTACCTTCTCCATACTATTGTTTTGTATACTTGTCCCTTTATATCTAATTTCAACCATATATCTTAGTCTCTCTCAAAGCTCTTAAAAGCTTAATATTAAAACTGAAATATCATCATCTGCTAAATACTTGCTTTCAGGGATTTAGCTATAAAATTGTCAGGTATATGTCTGATAATGACTTACAGGCATTGCCTCCCTTTTAAAAACAATAAATAAACTTGTCTGTACAGTAATAGAGATGTAGCCGTGTTAGTCCAATCTTGCTGAAACAAGAGAGGGCTATGCAGAACTTTAAAGACTAACAAGATGGTTTATTAGGTGATGAGTTTTCATGGCCCACAAAGTGGGTCTGGCCCACGAAAGCTCATCACCTAATAAATCATCTTGCTAGACCTTTCTTTTATTTCAACTTGTCTGTACAGGCAGAGAAAGTCTACCACCCCATGGCTGATACGAGAATTACAGGTATCTATTTCCCAGAAATTCTTACCAAAGTGCCAAGCCATGTTTTCCTTTAAAGTTATTGCTAGTATAAGATTAAATTCCAAGGGTAGTTAATATCCCAGGTACTATGTGAGTCACTGTTGTTCCTCTGACTGGTTCATGCTAAGGGTTAGGAGCTACCAGTAAATAAAATAAGAAATCGAGAATGCTTGTTGTTATAACTTTCAAATATATGAAAAATTGTTGTAATTGTCTTGTTCCCAGGATATTCGAGACACAAGGCAGGTGAGGTCATATCTTTTATGGGACCAACTTTTGTTGGTGAGAGAGACAAGCTTTCAAAAGTCTGTCTCACCAACAGAAGTTGGTCCAATAAAAGATATTACCTCACCTGCCTTGACTCTAATTAGAAAGTTGTCTATACATGCAGCAATGCAGAAAATAAAACTAGGAGC